TATCCTTGAGATGACCTTGAATTTCTGATCCTCTTGCCTCTGCTTTTCACATGCTGGAATTACAGGTCCAAGCCATCATACCTAGCTAAAAATGAATTCTTAGAAGATTCCAACCTGCTGTGCCAGCAAATAAAACCTTCGGAACTCTATGCTTGCGTACTGTTTGAGAGAACATTGAGCTTGATGTCATTGCCTTGCGGTGACTATAGGAACCACTTCTATGCACACAAAAAAGAGCTGCAAGTCAAAATTAATTTCACATTTGATTGTATTCAGTTTTATCATTACATAAGAGAGAGAGAGAAAAAAAAAAAAGGCTTCCCTTAAAGACTCCAGGCAGTTCATGGAAGTATTAATGGAAAAGAAAACAGAATAAAAATATTCAACTTTGCCAGGACAGAAATACATCATTTTTATTTCATACAGATAACATGTATTTAATTAGTTCTTTTATTGTGCTTATATCTTATATGTTTACATTTTATCTTATATGACATGAAGAGAGACCAGAGTATATATGTACACACTTTAAAGTACAGGATAAGGGGCTCAGCTTTGTTGGTAATGTGCGTGCCTAGCATGTGTGAAGCCCAGAGCGTGATTCCCCAGCATCACTGCACCACTGAATAAAATCAGGTATGAAAAGAGAACACAGAATAATATAGCCTGCAAAAGTTTAAGCAGGCAACAAAGAAATAAATTGCTGAAGCAAAGGGATGGAAGTGTTATAAAATACTGCCACACTTTGGTTATAACTGTCATCTAATTGGTTCTTCCTGTACTTATTACTGGCTGCCATGTTTAACTAGGCCTGTTGCTATTTTGCTTTTACTAAGAGGATTTGTGTAATAGAAAAAAAAAAATAATACTACACTACTTATAAGCACTGGGATTAAAGGCGTGTACAACCACCACCCAGCTAAACTTGGGTGTTTTGTTTGTTTGTTTGTTTGTGATTCTCAAGGGGATCTGGGACATGCTGATTAAGCTATTGTGTCATGCTGGCTGGCTAGCAAGCTCGAGGGATCCACCTGTTTCTGCCTTCCTGGAGTTGGGATTAAAAGCCCATAGCAACATACTTGTTTTTGCTTGGATGTTGGGGATTGAACTCAGGTCCTCAGAGTCTAGTGGCCGGTACTTTACTGACTGAGCTATCTTCCCACTCTCAACCTGCAGTTTTTTATTTGTTTTAAAAATGGTATCAATAAAAACAACTGAAACCAACACATACACACATACACACACACACAAAGCTGGGTGGTGGTGGCTCATGCCTTTAATCCCAGCACTCAGGTGGCAGAGGCAGGTAGATCTCTGAGTTTGAGGCCAGCCTGGTCTACAGAGGGAATTCAAGAGTAGCTGGGGCTACACAGAAAAACCCTGTCTCAAAAAAAAAAAAAAAAAAAAAGTATCAAGAAGTAAGTAAGTGGTTAGTTAGGTTTTAGCTTTCATGGATGAAGAAATAGGGGGAGGGAGGTAGTTAACAAATATATAAAGCAAAAATAAACAGTTTACAAAGAGATGAAAAGAGCTGGAAGATAAGTGGTTTATAAACTCCTGTTCCAAACGTTAGCAAGCATGTGTAGAAAATGGAATTATACACTGCCTGTAGGCTATAACTTGGTGAAATAAATCAGCAATAGCCAGTGTATTGGTTGAGTTTGCAGTTGCTGTGTAATGAATGACCACAAACCTAGTGGCTTAATACCCTCATCAATTTGCTTCCTTGTTTGTTTATTTGGTTTTTAAGACAGAGTTTCTCTGAGTAATAGCCCTGGCCATCTGAGCTTGAACTTACAGAGATCCGCCTGTCTCTGCCTTACAAGTGATGGAATTAAAGGTGTGCACCTTCACACCTGGTTCCTTGATACCCATTTATTTTCTTGGAGTTCCTTTTGGCCTGGAAGGTATTCACAGCTTACCTGGACCATCTGCTCAGGGTCTATCAAAGCAGCAATAAAGTACATATTTCTCCTATGTAGGCTCAAGTCAGGAAGATTCTGCTTTCATGTCCATTCAGGCTGCTGGCAGAATTCATTTCCTGGGATGATGTGATTGCAGCCTCTAGATTCTTATTGAATGCTAGCTAAAGGTTATCAGGTCTTAGAGGCTAACTGTGGGCCCTACCAAGTGACCTTCTATAGGCAGTGACAATATGACAACTCACTTCTTTATGGACAGCCTGAGTTTTCAGTTTCATAATAATGAAGTGTTAGGAAAAGAAATGTCATCATAGGAGGTCTTCCATCACCGTAGTTCTGTCTGTTGGCTAGGAATAAGTATGGGGCGTATGGACATTCAAGGAGTAGGGATTGTACAGAGCAGCAATAAGAATCAGGGGTTATTTTAGAGTTCTGCCTACCCTATCTAATGAAAGATGCAGTGTCCTGGGGCTGGAGTGATTTGGCTTGGTGGTTAAGGACACTTGCCACTTTTGCAGGGGACCTGGGTTTAGTTCCCAGAACCCACAACTGTCTGTAACTTCAGTTCCAGTGGATCTGGTACCCTCTTCTGATCTCTACAGGTACCAGGCACACACACATTTAGCATACATACATATATATACAGGCAAAATACTTTTTAAAATTTTGAGACAGGGTTTCTCTGTGTAGCCCTTATGTCCTGGAACTCGCTTTTAAACCAGGCTTGCCTCAAACTCACAGAGATTCTCCTGTCTCTGTCTCCCAAATGCTGTGATTAAAGGCATGCACCCCCCCCCACACACTGGTGACAAAATATTCTTAAACATACATTTTGTTTTTAAATTAAAAAAGATTCAGGTGGTGGTGCATGTCTTTAGTCCCAGCACTTGGGACGTAGAGGCAGGTGGATTTCTGTGAGTTTGAGGCCAGCCATGGCTACACAGGGAAACCCTGTCTCTAAAAAAATCCCAAAACAAACAAACAAACAAACAAACAAACAAACAACAATGTCTTAAGGTAAGGCAATTGCCTTGTACATAGTATGTATACAAGACTATCATGACACAAAAATAATCTTCCTTAATTTTTGTATTTCTCAAAATACAAAAATAGAGAAACATAAGATACCATATATAGTATGATATCAGTTTTGTATAGTCAATGTTTATAGGCATTAGGGGTCCAGCAATGGTCTACTGTAGTTGATTGGGATTAACCCATCACTAACAACAGTGGGGAAAATACTGAAAACATTAATGAAGAGGTACAGAGGCTGTGCAAGACATGGAAGAGAACCTGACACTTGCCATTGCTTTTCCTTGCCTGCGGTGACTGCCGATTCTAAAAGCAAAGGCTGAGACACTGAGCAGCACTTTGGCTGTCTCGGGGAGCTGAGGAGGCCCTGACAAAGGGAAGAGACCCTAGTTGATCCCTGTGACTTTTCCATGGGTCTCTCAAGAACTATAGCTAGGAGTATGGGGAGATTAGTCTGAGAAGACTACTCTGAATGATGAGTCTTAGCTCCTGACCAGAGTATAATGATCAGGCTTCAACTCAACTGGGGTCAAGATACTTGCCTGTATCAGTTAGATTTCTATAGCTACAATGAAACACCATGACCGAAAAGCAAACTGAGGAGGAAAGGGTTTGTTTGGCGTACACTTCCACATTGTAGTCTATCACTGAAGAAAGCCAGAGCAGGAACTCCAACATGGCAGGAATCTGGAGGAGAAGCTGATGCAGAGGCCATGGATGGGTGCTCCTTGCTGGCTTGCTCAGCCTGCTTTCTTATAGCACCCAGGACCACCAGCCCCAAGGTGACCCCACCAACAATGGGCTGGGGCCTTCTCCATGAGTCACTAATTAAGAAAATGCCTTACTGCTGGATCTTCTGGAGGCATTTTCTCAACTGAGGTTCCCTCATTTCAGATGACTCTAGCTTGTGTTAAGTTGACATAGGACTAGCTAGCACACTTACCTCACTTTTTCCCCCCAGCTGCTTTGCTCAAACTCAGTTCTTATTGTAATAAGTACTCTGTTAGTGGAGAAGAAAGAGGGAGGGAAGGAGTGAGGGAGGGAGGATGCTGTTCTAGTTTGCTTTTCTGTTGCTGTGATAAAACTAACCAAGACAACTTGGGGACAAGCATTTCAGCTTGCAGTACATCTTTGAGGAAAGCCAGGACAGGAATGCAAGGCAGGAACCTGGAGGCAGTAATTGAAACAGACCAGGGAGGAATGTGGTCACTAGCTCACGCTCAGCTTGCTATCTTACACAGCCTGGGGGTGTCACTGCCCACAGTGGGCTGGGCCCTCTCACATTAATAATGAATCCAGGAAATGGTCCACAGACATGCCTACAGGCCAATCTGATGGCAGCCAATTCTTCCGATGAGGGTCCCTCTTCCAGGGAGGCTCTAGCTTGTGTCAAGTTTACTAAGACCAACACAGGAGCCAAGACAAATGAACATGCATTATCCAGGATTTAGTCACCATGGCCCTCTCTCTCCCCCTTTCTTACATTTATAAACGTGTTGATTTACTGTCTGTACCTCCTCAGCATTCTTTTTAAACTAACTTATTAGACCGGGTCCTGTGTGAGACTTTCCCTTGACTACTCCTTGGCTGTCTTAGGGTGCTCTTTTGAAGCCACCACTCTACTTCCCAGAAAGGAAAAGTCCATCAGTTAACAGTGACAATCATTTTCCTAAACAGTTTTTTAGAGCACTTACTCAGATCAAAGCAAATATTTATGCTAAAAACTATTATTATTATTGAGACAAGGTCTTCCTACGTGATCATGGTGGTCTAGAATTCGCCAGTCTCCTGCCTCAGCCTTCCTAGTGCTGGGAATACAGGCGTGTGTAACCAAGGCAGGCTTAAAAATTAATTTCTTAGTGTTTTATGACACTAATAAACTACCAGGTAAAGTGGGAGAGAACTGAATACCCAGAAGGTTCCTGCAAATGAGTTGCATGTGAATTCTTTGAACGTGAAACACTGACGTATTTTGTAACACTCCTTCAGCCTCCAACCATGCCATTATTCATCCAATAAGCATGCTCGGTGTGAGGTACCTACCATGTGAGAGGACAGCTTATAGAGATGTGAGGGGGGATCCGTCCATTCTGGAAGACCTTAGTAAGGGCAAGTTTGCTTCCATAACTTCTACATGTCTTTGCTTTCACTGACCGCAAACGTCGTCCTCAGAGACCCAAGCCCTGGCCACAGCCTTTTTCCCTGGCCGCTGTCAGCCTAGAGCGTCCGCGCCCGGAGACTTTGCTTCCCGGCGGCCCCTGCGGCGGGCGGCGGAGGGGCGCGCGCAGGCGCGCAGGCCGGCCCCCGCACGCAGGCGCAGTGCGCACGCCGGCTGAGCTGGGTCTCGCGGCTGGGTGCGCGGCAGCGGAGAGCGAGGCCTGGTGAGCGCCGCCGTAGCGCGCGCCAGCTGGTCAAGGTTGTGCGCGGAGGAGGCGCAGCGGGCGGGCAAGGAGCGGGCGTTTCATCCTCGCAGTGGCACCGGGACCGGTCGCCTGGAGCCGGTGAGTGTGCGTGTGTTGGGGTGGGGGGTCCCTGCGGCCCCTCCTCCTCGGCGGGCGGCTCTGGGTTCCCTCCACGGACCCAAGGGAGGCCCCGCGGGGCGAAGGCGGACGCGGGCGGCGGCCGGAGCCCTCGCGGCGCTCCCGTGCGTCACGGGCCCCGGCGGTCCTAACGGCCGCGCGGGCGGCGGAGCGCGGTGGGGGTGGGGAACGCCGGTCGGGGCGGGGCGGCGCGGCGGCGGTGGTGGTGGAAGCGGCGTCGGGGACTGCGGGGCGCCGGGCGGCGGCGCGGAGTCTGCGCGCCGAGCTAGCATGAGGGCGGGGACGGGGCCGGGGGCGGGCGGCGCGGAGCGGTGGCCGAGGCCGAGGCGTGCGGGGTCGTTCCGGGAGTTGGCAGGTTAGCACCGGGCCGGCGTTTGGAGGGAGGTGGGGGTGGAGACGGGAGGCTGCAGTTTACGGATGTCATAACTACGCGGGCCCGGAGCTGCTGACGGGGGTGTGGTAATTATAGCAATGACAACTTGGTCGGCCGTGTGAGCGGTGATGGGAGGGAAACCGCCGAGCGTGAGCCGGGGCTCGCCGTGGGAGCAGAAAGCTGGAGGGTGACTGGAGTCAGGGACGTTGGCAGGGGATAATGTGAGGGTTGAATGCAGCTGCTTCCGATCCACTTTGCAATGAAAAGTTTCAAATGAATTGATTTTTAAGGTTTAAACGTCGGTTTGGTCAACTGGTATCAGGATCCACAACCGAGGAATGCTTTGAAATATTAAACAGTTAGCATCTGTCCTTTTTACCCCCTTCTCTTAAAAGTTCCTCCAAAACCCACCTCCTACTTTTTTTTTTTTTTTTTGTTTATTTGAGACTGGGTTTTGTTTGATAGGCTGGCTTTGAATTTGTTGTCCTGCCTTGGCCTGCAGGGTGGCAGGATTTCAGACATGCTTTATACAGCCCGGCTCAAAATTTCGATCAGCCTAGATGACTAAGTAGGTAAGTAGTCCCACGTCTTGTTGCCTTTAGGTTGCCTTTTCTTTGTCCTTGTTTTTGAGACAGGTCTCACTATTTAGTCATGGCTGACCTAGTGTTGGATACATAGCCTATGGTTGTCTTGAACGCAAAACAATCCTGCATCAGCCTGTCAAGTGCTGGGTTTACAGGTACTACAGTGGGCTTGATTTGCTCCTCTGTGGGTGTGTGGTGTGTGGATTTGTATAAATTTATATGTGTGTATGTATATTCATATGTCTTGTCAGTCTGTCTATCTTTTGAGACAGGGTCTCACTTGGAATTCATATATAGACCAGGCTGCCACTGAATTGAGAGATCCACCTGCTTCTGACTCCTGGAATGCTGGAATTAAAGAAGTGTGTTCTCACACTTGACCTTCTTCCAACATTTTAAACATAATTTATTGTTATTTTATGTGCATTGTTGTTTAGTCTGCATGTATGTCTTTGTGAGGGTGTTCAGATCTTGGAGTTACAGACAGTTGTGAGCTGCCCTGTGGATGTTGGGAATTGAACCTGGGTCCTCTGGAAGAGCAGAAGCCATCTCTCCCACTCCCCACCTTCCTACATTTTAAAGGCTGAAATGTCTACATTTTGGCATTTAGACATTTCTCTAGTTTTGATGAAATATATTTTTTGGTAGATTACTGTTTTATATAGACAATTTTAAAATGGAGGTCTGAAAGAAATAAAAGCCACCTGGGTGTGGTGGCATACTCCTGTAGTCCCAGCACTCCTGGGAAGGCAGAGGCAGGCGGAGCTCAGAGTTCAAGGCCAGCCTGGTTTACCAAGCAAGCCCAGGACACACAGAGAAACCCTGTCTCAAAAAAACAAAAACAAACACAAAAAAGCAAATTTACAGTAACTTTGAAATAGATACTAACTTTTCTTACATGAATGAAAGCATGGAAGAACACAATATTGGTTTTAAGAATAGCTTGTTTCTAAATATTTTACTTATTTTTTGAGTGTATGAGTGTTTTGTGTGCACGTATGTAAAGTGCATCATGATGGAGCCTGATGCTTGCAGAGGCCAGAAGAGGGTGTTAGATCCCCTGGAACTGGAGTTGAAGATGATTTGAGCTGTCCTGTGAGTGTTGGGAACCAAACATGGGTCCTGCAAGAGCAGCAAGTGCTCTTAACCACTGAACCATCTTTCTAGTCAAGAAAACACTGGAAGAAGACAGCATAATTCTTGAAATTTTAAAGTTCTAGAGAAATAGATCACTCACTGATAACAATGCAGAGTAAGTACTAGTAGCTTGTGCCTATAGTCCTAGCACCTGAGAGACTGAGGCATGAAGATCTGAGTTTGAGGCAAGCCTGGCGCTTGAGCCTGTCACAATGCAAGAAAGCTAAACCTAGAGTAGGGCAGGAGTGTAGCATGCCAGGGGCCTGGAGTTACCCCTTAATCCTATGAAAAGCCCAACAAAAATCAAACCTGAAAAGCCTTTAGAGTCAAGTAAGGAGAATGAAGATACTACCTGAAATCAAATACTTGCTTATACTTACTTTCTTTTGAGCCAGGGTCTCTCTGTGTAGTCTTGGCAGTCTTTGAACTCAAGGTGTGTCCCACTATGTCAGGCCATTGTCCTGTTTTGTTTTATTTTTGTGATGGCAGGGATCCATTTCCTAGGTTTAACTAGGTTAGTACTCTGCCACTGCATTATGTCCCTAGTCCTTGTATTACCTGCTTTTTGGTCGTCTTCATGAAATATGTATCTTGACCTCCCCTCATCCCCCATTGTTTCCGAGGCCCTCACAGGGCTCACTGAGATCCACCTCCCTCTGCCTCCTGAATGCTAGGACTAAAGCTATGCACCACTCCTCCTTACATCTTTTATCTAGTATTGACGCATACCAAAAGGAACCACAAAACAAAGCCAACAAAACATCCCCCAACTTTGTTGCTAGTGGTAGGCTTCTTATTTTATTTTTGTGTGTGGGGTGTACGTATCTGTCTGCATGTGGAAGCTAGAGGAATATTTTGGCATCCTCCTCTATTGACCTTTGCCTTACTCCTTGAGTAGGGTCTTGTTGCATCTGAAGCTCTGCTCCAGGGATCTGCATATCTCTGCTCCTCAATGCTGGGTTTACAGTCATGTGCATCCATACTTCTGTTTTTTAATTGGATGCCAGAGAGTGAAACTCATATCTTCATCCTTTCCCAGCAAGAGCTCTGAGAAATCCACCCAGCCCTGGCCTTTTTGTTTGTTTTTAATTATTATGTGTCTTCGTGAGTGTATGCTGCATGTGTGGGGTTGCCTGTAGAGGAGGCCAGAAAAGGGTTGTGTTGGATCCCATGGAGCTGGAATACAGGCAATTGTCAGCTGCCCAATATGGATGCTGGGAACCAAATTTGGGTCCTCTGGAAGAGCAACAAACCCTTAACTACTGAGCTGTGCCTCCAGCCACAGTCTTTTCTCTTTTTCTTATTTCCTTCACTACCTTCCCTTCTTATATAAAGATGGCCTTTATTAGACTAATACTGTTTTGTAAGCAGTCTTGTTTCTGGAGGTTGACCGATAGGCTCAGTGGATTCAATTTTTTTAATCTGTTGCTTTCAGTTATTTTATCAGTTTGTCTTTTGCCATGCATGGAGAGTAGGATTATATCTTTTCATCTCCAGTGTTAGCACCAGTATTTGGGAGGGAGATAGGATATTAAGCGTTCAGAATCTTCTTCAGCACAGAGTGGGCATGAGGCCTACCTGGCCCACATGAACCAAAACAAAACAAAAGTTAAGACCTTTGATTGGTTCCATGACTGACCTATTGGTAAAGGATAATCCCTTAATTCTCGTTCCTTTTTGTTATCTTTGTACTTTGTGGGACTTGTGAATTTAGGTGTAATAATGGAAATAAACATTGGCTATGACCGTTCATTTAGCTGAATTGAGCTGATTTCTCTCTTTATGCAGTACAGGGAGGACTTGTGTTAGAAGGATTGTGAAGTAGTATATTAAAACTGGGAATGGGGACTGATGAACTCTAGTTTCTGTTTTTGTTTTTTTGTTTTTTTTAAGACCTTAGCAACACTTCAAAATAGACCTCAATGAAAAAAATGATTCTGTCCCAATGTTGTAGACTGACTGGAATGATTCTTGAGAGCTGGCAGTAATCCAGAATGTGGATAATGGGGTAATCCTCGTCATATAACAAGAATAATGCTGCCCTTCATGTACAAAGATGAGTCTGCTTGCTCAGCATGAATGGTCTTCCAGCACCAACAAGGGTATGTGCTGAGTTGTCCATGTGACTCTTCTGGCCAACAAGACGGCTTGGGGTTAGAGTGAGGGCTTCCAGCTGAGGCACAGAAAGACTCACAGAAAGTAGTAAAATTCATTATGGGACAGCCCTGTCTACATCAGGTGTTTTTCAGTAATAGTCCTTGCAAAACCACTTTGAGGAGGAAGTTGTCTTACCGCCCCACTTCACAGTAAGTGATGGGACTGAGATTTAAGCCATAGGCTGTTTGTAATATGGTTACACCAGTCATTGAAGCTTTATCAGCGGTTCATTTCAGAACCACTAGAGACTGAATTTACGGTCTTAAATTCCATGTTTTGTAGCCATTAAAATCACCTCAGATTTTAAATAGGATAACAAAAAAACTGCCACCCTTGTACTAGTCTCTATAATTTTTTTCTTCTTAAGTGTTGCCTATCCTTATATTGATAAATACCTTTCTTTGATTTATTGCTGTGCCCCACACCCCTTTCTGGTTCTTAAATGAAGGTCTTTCGGCATGCTAAGGCTCATGAGCTACCACTGAGTTACAGCCCTAACCTTTATTGCTGCTGCTATCATCATCATTATTTATCTTTAGTGGTCTCACTATGTAGTTCTAGCTGCCTGGAACTTGCTATGTAGACCAAGCTGCTTTCAGATTCACAGACCTGAGTCCACCAGTCTGCCACCCAGAGTGCTTGGGATCAAGGATGAGCGTCACTGTGCCTGGCTTATGTCTTGATAGAATAATTCTATATCAAGAATAATT